AACGCTTGATTGAATACTCGAGCTGACTGCTTCAAAGGGAGCTTCTCCAGCTGATTTCTGCTGAATCTTATGAGTACCCAATTTGTATTTTTGTTTTCGCTCTCTCTCTCTCTTGTTAATTTTTCTTTTTACTTCAACATGTTGTACTTAATAAGGACCCTCCTTCAAACTAAATAAATGGTTACCATAGATCCTTCTTCCTACCATACATACCATGCCTGCTGCTGTATCTGGCTTCTAGGGATTCAGACTCGGGTCCCCATAGTTAAGTGTTGAGTGCTTTACTCTCTGAGCTGTTTCTCCAGCCTGAGACACAGGTTTTGACTATAAACATGGCTCATCATGGCCAATCTTGTCAATTTGTTGGGATGAAGAATCACTCAGTCAAACTGGCATCTGTGAAAGGATACATGGTGGGGTCAGAGCTACAAACTTGTCTCCTAACTTGTTCAAGTGCAGAACATGGTTGTCAGAGCCACTGGGAAGTGGAAACTGAGGAAGTGGAGTCTGGCTTAAGAGCTGCTGGGAAGTGGAAACTGAGCCATGGGCTTTCAGAATCCAATGACACCCCTGAATTAATATAGTCTAATCACTTCCCTTTACTTTGAGACTCTTAGTTGTTCACTGCCCTATATAGAAACAACCTAAAAATACTGTGGCTTGGGATCGCTTCCAACCCCTTTATAGCTCCTGTAGGGGTGTACTCAAAAGGATGGATTGTCTCTAAAACTTGAGGTTCCTTTTAAAGTGTTCAGTGGGGAGTGGCATGTCCAATGTGGCCTTACAGGCTGGATGCTTTGGTGTTGACTGGGCTGTGGTGCCATTAGATTCTAAGTAGCTTCTTCATCCATGCACACTGTCCTTATTCAGTAGTCAGGCTGACCTCATGGTAGCCAATCTACACACACACACCTATTGTCCATCCATCACTCTCTCCACCCACCAGCCTACTTTAATGAATCTCCCAGAACATGAGGTGTGCAGTTTGAACATAAATTTCATCCTCTATGGTGATTTGAATGAAATTCTCCTTAGTCTTGGGCATTTGAGTAATTTGGTCCTAAGTTGGTGGCTGTTTGGGCAGTTTAGGAGGTATGACCTTCTTGGAGAAATGTGGTACTAGGGGCAGGCTTAGAGGTTTCAAAAGCTATGTATTATGTCCAGTTATCTGTCTTGGTTTCCTGCTTCCTGCATGAGAGGTGCTCTCTGCAGTTCCTGCTGCCAGTTGTCATAAGTCCCTGCTATGATGGATTCTTATCCTCTGGAACCATGAGCCCAAATGAACCTTTTCTTCTGTAAGTTGCCTCCGTCGTGGTATTTTATCACAGAAGTAGATGAGTAAGTGAGACATCTTCTTTGGGTTCCTTGCTTCACTCCAAGCAGCAAGTTGGGGCTACTTGGATGTCTTGAGTGAGGGGGAAATGTGGAGCTGAAGGGAAGCAAAGCCCCAGGCTCTTCTTTGCTTCTGCTCCAAAAGCCTCAGCTTGGAGGAAGAAAGGTTTTGTTAGATGGACAAAACATGTCTGGTAGAAAGACAGGGAAGAGTCTTTTCAAGACCTGGGACAGATATAGCTGACAGACAAACAGACAGTAGGCAAAACTGGGGGACCTATGTCCTGTGCCTGAGCAGAACTCCCAGAAAGGGATGGGATCTCAGAGTAAAGTGACTACCCCAAGCACTGTGCAGAAATGGGGCACAGGGTATTCAGAACAAGATGATGGGTCCCAATACCCTTCATTTTCCATGCTAATGTGTTCACATCCTCTGTACCCCCACATACAGAACAAATGTTCCCCTTTTAAATCTTTCCCCCCAAAGCTTGATACAGATTCTGTTTCTGTGGAGTTGCCATGTTATCAGGCAGGTCTCTCTGGAGAAAAATAGCTCATAGATAAGAAGATAAAAGTAACTGGCTCCCATTAACATGGAACTGGCAAGTTCACAACCTGCAGGGTAGACTGGCAAACTCAAACCTGCAGGGTAGGCTGGCAGGCTGGAGGCTCAGGCCTAAAGCCATGTGTGGCAGGCGTCTGTCTTTCTCTGAAGGAAGGGAATCTTTTTCTTACTAAGTCCTTACCCGATGGGAAGAACCTATTCCACACAACAGAGGGCCACATGCTTTACCTAAACACACACAGAGCCAGCCGAAGTCAGTGCAGAAGAAACTGTCTGGTGCTATAACCCAGCCAAGCTGTCAGTTTACTGTCTTCTTGGCATTGTGACACCATGCTCGGCTTGAGAAGGGATAGAGAGAGGGAGCAGGACCTGTGCTGGCCGCCGTTTGCTGGACATTTTCACATCACAGAGGGAGCTGGCCATTGTCAAAGCTTCTAACACTTCAGCCATCTGGTAGAGCAGAAAGAACTGCTGGTTTTAAGGCAGTTTTTGTACCAGTTTTGTTAAGTGCGTCCCAGGGCTTATGGCCTAAGGAATCACTGGGTTCCACCAGGCCAGAGCCAGCAGCAGCCTTGCCTGGCCCAGGTATGTTCCCCTCCCAGAAAATGATTTCTTTTTCAAGCCTTTGTTTAATTTTTGTGAGTATGAATGTGTGTGTGTGTGTCCGTGTGTGTCTGTGTGCTGGTTGATTTCTGTGTGTGTCAACTTGACACCAGCTAGCTTTTTCTAGGAAAAGGGAAGCTTAATTGAGGATTTGCCTCCATCAGATTGGCTTTTAGGCAACTCTGTGAGGCATTTGATTGGTTAATGATTGACATATGAGGGTCTAATCTGCTGTGAGTGGTGCCTCCCTCCCCTGGGCAATTTGTTTCGAATGGTACAATAAAGCAGGCTGAGCAAGCAAAGGGAGTAAGCCATTAAGCAGCACTCCTCCATGGTCTCTGTTTCAGTTCCTGCCCTGACTTCCTTTCATGATAGACTGTAAACTATAAGTTGAAACAAACCCTTTTGCCAATACCTCCAAGCTGTTTTTTGTCATGACATTTTATAACAGCCATAGAAACCTACCTGTTGACAGAGACTGCTTGTTCATTTCCTGGCCGCCCAGACATGAAAAAACCACACAGAAACTGTGTTAATTTTTTTTAATATTTATTTATTTACTCTGTCTGTGTGTATGCCTGCAGGCCAGAAGAGGGCACCAAACCCCATTACAGATGGTTGTGAACCATCATGTTACTGGGAATTGAACTCAGGACCTTTGGAAGAACAGGCAGTGCTCTTAACCTCTGAGCCATCTCTCCAGCCCAGAAACCGTGTTAATTAAAACACTGCTTGGCCAATCACTTAAGCGTATTGCTAGCTAGCCCTTATGTCTTAAATTAACCATTACTATTATTTTATATTTTACCATGAGGCTCGTGGTTTACTGGTAAAGTTCCCAGATGCATCTGTCTCCTTCTATGACTACATGGCTTCTCTCTGGCTCCTCCTTTCTTCCTCTATCTGCTTGGAATTTCCACCTTGTCCTATTCTGCACTGCAATAGGCCCAAAGCAACTTCTTTATTAACCAATGATATTCACAGCATACAGAGGGGAATCCCACATCACCTACTTAAGGATAATGAGTGCATGCCTGAGTGTATGTATATGCCACCATGTTTGTTTGGTGCCTGCAGAGCCTAGAAGAGGACATTGAATCCCCTGAAATTGGAGTTCTAGGAAACCATAAACTTCTTACTGTGATGGCAATGAACTGAACTCTGACACTCTACAGGAGCAGTAAGTGTTGTGAGCTGCTGAGCTGTCTTTCCAGATGCCCCTCCCTCCCCAGGATTCCAAGCACGGGACCCAACCAATTTCTGCTCCTGGATCTACGGATAGGCGTGTGTTTTCCAGAGGGATGCAGGAGGGCAGAAATACCTTTGGTCCTTTGTGAGTTTTCACCCATATGTCTTGTCATCCTTTTTCCCCTGACAGCTTGGGATTCAGAAAACAAAATCCAGAAGACTTCTTTTCTGTCCACTCTGTTGTTTCTCTCTCCCAGAGAGGGTGGGCCTCAGTGCTCAGGTGAGGCAGAGAAAATGACAGTATGTACATTTGTTTGTTTTGCTTGTTTGTTTGAGACAAGTCTCACGGGCTGGACTTACTATGTAGCCCAGGCTGGCCTCTGTCTTGGAGTGTTCCTCCTGTCTCAGTATCCAAGGTGCTAGGGCTTACAGGTGTGATCATGCCTGGATCAAGTCAGTATATGTGTGTGTGTGTGTGTGTGTGTGTGTGTGTGTGTGTGTGTGTGTGTGTGTACGTGCACATGTTCAAGGTTGATGTTGGAATGTTTTCCTTAATCAAACACACTTTCTACTTTATTATTTTTGCAACAAGATCTGCCACCGAACCTAGACCTTGCTATTTTGGCTATACTAGCTGGTTGGTGAATTCCTGGGACCTGCCTGCCTTTGTCCTCCCTTCCCCCGACTCCTAGTGCCGAGTCACAGAAGTGTGTGTTGTGCCCAGCTTTTCATGGCTGCTGAGGATCTGAATGCAGGTCCTCAGGTGACATCCCATCACGAAGCATTTCTCCAGTCTCTAAATCCGCGCCTGTAAGGAAGGCATGAACTCACCCCATCTGTGACTCAACCAATCTGTTAGTTCGGTGTCTTCTCTTGCTTGTATATTTTAGTGTCTTCCCCATCATAACTTCCCTCTCCTTCATCAAATTATAAACAGAGGAGGACACATCCAAAAACATCAAAAATCCGGATTATTACTGACTTAAAAGAGCACAAGGTTACCACTTTATAAGGAAGCCTTGCCCAGATTTCCTTGTATGCAGCCATATACTGGTCTTCTGCCCTCTCTCTCTCTCCCCTCCTCCCTCCATAACTGAAGAGAGTGGGTAGCAGCCACTCTGCTTTGCAGCTGGCAGAATGCCTGAAGAGCAGCCAGTGGCCTGGGTTCAATCTCCTGATAAGTCATCAATTTCTTTCTCACCCAAAACATCTGATGGAGGCTCCTGAGTTATGAGCTAACATTAAATGTAAAAGCTTGCAGCGTCACATATATAACGCTGTTGATTAGAAACATCAAGAAAAGTAATTGACTGGAGGGGACTTCTGTGACCAGCTGGTCAAACATCTGGATCGGATCCCAGGGGTCTGAGCTGAATTCCTAAGCTGGCCATTCTTGGCCAGTAGTACATGGTAGCATCTTTAAAAGTTTGGGTCTCCTCTTTCTGCAGTGAGTTTCCTACAGTACTTTATACACAATAACATGAATGTGTGTTTTGGTTAGCTGACAAAAAGCTAAATAAAATAATTCCAGTCGTTATCTTCCCACGCATACAGTTCCCTGGACATTGTGGTTGTCAGCATTTTTTTAGCCTTGTCCTGTTACCAACCTTGACCACTGGGTGGCAATGTACACCCACGTTTGCCAAAGGCTATAGTTATTGAGGGAGGTGACCACTGGCTAAGTCCAGCTGGTTTGCAGCTAAGCAACCCTGGGAAGAGTTCCTGCCAGCCTGGGCTTTGTTTTCAGGAGCTGCCCTGTTGACAGCTCCACAAATCTAAGTCAACTTCTTGCCTGTGACCCCAGCCAGTAACCTGTGACCAGTACCCCAGAGAGAGACCTTGTGTTCTGTGGGCCAACAATAGCCACTTTCTTATTCTTTTCTGCTCAGGTTGACTCTTGCCAGAAAACCATTAGGACCATTAGGGTTTGAATTTAAGGAAGAATGATGTAGGATAGTTGTTTGCAGTGTTGAATTGAGAGGGACTGGGAGGCTTCGTGGTCCAAGATCAGAGAGCAAGGATACTGTCTTCTATTAGCCATCTGCCTTCCTCCCTGCCTGCCTCTTTTCCTTATGTTTATTGGGTCCTCATGAAGAACTAGGTACTCAGCTAAAAGTATCAATATTAAGATCCCATTAGTCTCTGTTCTCAGAATTTACAAACTAAACGGAGAGAGAGAGATGGATCCTGGAACAGGGTCAATCACCCTAGTGTTGAGTGCACACAGCCTTGGGTGTGAATAATAGAACCAAGATGTAGAAGGAAAACATTAGGACCCAGCATGCACACAGATTGTCCTTGTATTTTCTTTTGCTGTGGTGAGGTAACAATTGTCAAAACGCTGCCTTGTCTCAAGCCAAGCACGGTGGTCCTTGTGGTCCAAGCACTTGGGAATGAGAAGAGAGAAGAAGAGAAAATCAAGGTCAACCTTGGTTGCATTAGTTTAAGGCCAACCTGAGCCACACAAGACCCACCCTGATTCTAAAAACAAAATAAACAAGCAAGCCTCCTCTCTGCTGCCCTCCCAGACAGCTGGCTACTGGAATGGCATAAAGAGACAAGGGAGGTGCCCGGGGTGAAAGAGACCTTGTTTAGTTGTAACAAGAAATTCCCTGATGATTCTATTCCTGTGAAATTTAGTCTCAGGGAGTTCCCATCATGAGATCACTTGTAGAAGAGGCTGAGAGTCTAATTTTTAAGTGAGATTTCCAAAAAAAGGTTATGACATTGTAGGCCAAAAAAAAAAAAGTGATATGCATGAAGCCAACTTTGGGCCCTCCGGGATCTCCAGCCCCTGGCACAGTGGTGCCTGTTTACCTCTGCGGGGAAGAGGCTTTCTGCACTCTCTGCTTTTCCAGTCCTTCCACTGTGTCCTCATTTGGCTTTTCACTGTGGACATAGATACTGTGAGGTTCAGTACCACCTTGATGGGTCTCCTCTTTCCTTTGCGCAGACGCTGGTCCAGTGGGCTTGGAGTGGGGCTCAAGAAGTTTCCTCTTTAGCAGATTCCTGAGTGATGCCAAGAAAGGTGGGACCAGATGGTGGATGAGGACACCTGCTAAAAAGTGTAGCCCTTTAGCTTGTGCCATGGACTTGGAGTTTTCAAGTATAAGTAAAGGAGAGGGCAATCCTGTCCTTTGCCTTGTCAGCAATAGCTTCAAGATTCGGATGACAGCTCTTTGTTTTGGATGCTGAACAATGATCTGCTGTTTTGAAGCCAAAACAAAACAAAACAAAACAAAACAAAAGCAAGCTGGCCTGTGGAGAAGTCACAGGGAGCAGAGTGCAGTTTTCTCCCTCCTTCCCCCTCCCACCCCTGTGACCACACTAGACTCTCAGTGGGGTGGGTGGTACTCAGGGGTGAGTGACGCTAAGATGCCCCTGCTTCTGCCTTTTTGATGCACTGAAGTTTGGCTACAAAGTGTCTGGGGGAACTTGTTCAGTTGTAGACATACCTGAAATCTGACAACGATATACTGGGATCTTTGAAGGTGGCATCAGGGTGGTCTTTGCCACCTGCTGGTCTGGTCTCCTAGAGTGAATCTGCAGCTCCTTGCTGAACAAGTCACCTTGACACCATGGAACACCATCAACCAAAAGCGGGTGGCCCGCACTGCCGCAGCAGTACAGTACCTTGCTGCAGATATCAACGTGGTACCCAAAGGAAGTTCCATCCATCCAAGAACCAGGAGGAGTCCTACTTCCTATCCATTTCCTCCAAGGAAGGGAAGGCATAAAACTTGGGATAAGAGGCCCCATCTTCACTGTCATGAGTGGATTAATGCCATCATCCCAAGAGTGGGTTCCTTATGAAAGGATAAATTTAGTCTCTTACACTAAATCTCACTGCCTCTTGACATTCTGCTTTCCACCATGGGATGGGGCAAGAATTCTTGTTCTCTATCAGAGGGGTCACTGATCTTAGAACTTTCCAGCCCCGGTATAAGAAAAACAAAGTAATTATTATTGTATTTTGCTGCAGGGAAGGTCTCACTATAAAGCCTGGCCTTTAACTTACTATATAGCTGAGGAGAGCTACAAACTCATGACAATCTCCTTGCCTCAGCCTCCGAGGTGTCAGTATCATAGGGATGAGATGCCAGACCTTGCCAGTCTCTCTCTGTCTCTGTATCTCCCTGTGTGTTTCTCTTTCTGTATCCCTGTATCTCTCTTGGTCTCTTTCAGTCATGGGTATTCTGTTACAGAAACACAAGGTGGAGTAAGTCAGTCCTCATATCAGAATTTTTATTGAGCCACATCTGTCTGCCATGTGGACATAAAGAGCCCAATTCATGGGCACTGGGAGTAGGGCATGGTCATTTTGTGCAGAGTCCGCCATGCTCCCTCCACATCACAGGAAAGACTTCCAAGCCCATGACTGAGCTTTCCAGAGCAGACCCATTGTCAAAGGACTTGTTTCAGCCACATCTGTTTCCCTATCCTCATCCCCCAAGTCACAGAGGCGTTCTCCCTGTTCAAATAAAAGTAATGCTAGCTGATATGGATTCTGCACTTTCCCAAGCTCCTGGCAGACCCTCAGCTTGCTGACTGCCCACACCAATGGTATAGCAGATGTCGGTTTTGTTCTTGTTTTACAACCCAGAAAACAGAGACAGGGAAGTGTAAGGAACTTTCTATGATGGCACAGCTGATATGACAGAGCAAGGACTCCATCCATGGAGGCTATGGGAATCCCTTCTGCCATGTCTGCCCACATCACACTGGCTGGAGAGTCACACCTCCACATCTTCTTAGTCCTGTCCTTGAGGGCTAGACAGTTCCCTTTTCAACTTTGAAGGGATCAGAAGGTGTTGACCCCACATCTGCCTGAGTAGGACATCTTGATCGTTTCTAGCTGAGGGCACCTGAGAAGTGGCAGAAGGAGCCTTTTGCTTTCTCCTTTTACCCCAAAGGCAAGGCACACACTTCTCAAGAGAAATGTCCTTGGGCCAGGAAAAGGAAAATGTTATCCCTGGAGATGGGGAGCCATGCCAAGATGAATCTGTGTAAATGACCCGTTGAGATAACTCTGCTTCCTGCAGCAGGTTGGTCCTCAGTGTCCCTTAAAGGGTCCATGCAGCAAAGGCTTAGTCCCCAGCCTTTGGCACGTGGGCAGTGGTGGAATGTATAGAGGTGGGGCCTGAGTGACATTGAGGACACACCCTTGAAGAGGACTGTGGGCACAAGCTCCTTGCATTACCTCTTCTTCACTCCCTGAGGGCCCATGGCCTTGGAAGGCTCAAATCGTCCTCAAAGGGTAACTCAGCATTAACGGGAATGCAAAGACCCAGTCTGCTTCACTCAACTGGAGGTGTCTCAGCCTCAAATGCAGGCTCCCTGTTGGGTCACCTGAGGCCTCAGTTGTAGCATCATTGTGGCTGAACTTTCCCCTCTCCACCTTCCTTACCTCTTACATGTAATCTCATCTGTAGATTAGACTTGTGAGTCCCCATCCAGAGTCTTTCCAGGGACTCCAGCAAAACATGTCATCTTCCTTTCATACAATCAATGTAATTGTTTCTCTCGCTTTTCGTATGCTTTGATAGTGCTGAACAATTCTATTTGTCCTGGTCTCATCTCAGTCTCCAGTGCGCCCTGGGATCCCTGGATAGCAACGTGTCTCCTTGGGACAACTTTGCTGGAAACAATCTGGGGTATAAATTTTTTTTAATATAATTTTTTATTGAAAAAAAATTTCCGCCTCCTCCCCGCCTCCCATTTCCATCCCCGTCTCCCTTTTCCCTCCCCCTCTGGGGTATAAATTTGTTATGGGTTACTGTCTTGGAGTTGCTATTGTCGTGAAGAGACACCATGACCACGGCAACTCTTATAAATGGAAACATTCAATTGGAGTGGCTAGCTTACAGTTTTAGAGGTTCAGTCCCTTATCATCATGCAGGGAACGTGGCGGCACGCAGGCAGACATGGTTCTGGAGAAGCAGCTGAGAGTCCTATATCTTGCAGGCAGCAGGAAGAACGGTTTGTCACACTGGGCAAAGCCTGAGTAAAAGAAGACCTCAAATCCCGCCCCCTTTCTTCAATAAGGCCATGCCTCCTACTAATGCCACTCCCCATGTGAACTTATGGGGACTAATTATGTTCAATCTACCACAGATACCTGAAGAGAAAAATTCCTGAGAGGCCAATTAAGTTGAATGGAGTCTTTATAAACTGCCAGTGAACCTGTTACAAGCAGATTATCAGGAAGAAAACCCGACCTCTAGCTGGCTTGAGTTTTTAAGGGCAAAACTTTGCAATTGTGACACACAGAAAGGGAGCACTGTTTAAGGAGAGATAGCAGAGATAGCAGTTAAATGGTCGGGCAGTTAACCTTTAGCTCAGGGTCACACTGTATAGGAATTTAGGGCTGGTCCAGGGGCCAGTTTTACCCAGGATAGTCTTAGGCACCTAGGAATACTTTCCTGAGCTGGCATAGCCATAGTTCAGTAGCTTACTACAGGTTTACAGCAAAGGATCTGCTTGTCGCGTTAGTTGAATAAGCTGAGTTTTCAGGTGATAAATGGATTTATGGAATAATAATAAATTTATAAGATGTGGTGGTTTCAAGGACAGCACTTCACCAGATATTCCTGCTTTCCTTTGTAACCCTGGCCAGGGTGAACACAGGTTCTTTTGTTCCAGTCTTAACCACCAATAACTCTCAGATCACACATTACATGTCACCCTATAAATCCATCTGTCTAGATCTCTCTGTATGTGTACCTTCAGAAAGGCTACAAAGCTAAAGCCGTAGCAGAATTCAAAAGGTTTCCGAAGAAGGCTGATAGAAATGTAAATAGTCTATTGATAAGATAACAAGCCCAAATCAATTGTTGGAAGCATTTGCTGCCCTAGTAAGGCTCCCGTGGTTCACAGACGTTAGAGAGGTGGAGTTGAGTCAGGCTGCAGGGGTGAAAGGGCAGGGCAGGGCCAGATGGGTGGGCAGGAGAACAGGTCAACGGCAGCTGAGTAGCTGCACCAAGAGCAACTGGGGGACAATTTGGGTTGAAGCCCTAGGGACAGTCAGAAGGTCTCGGTCCTCCTTGAGGCACACACTGGGTGTTCAGATGACAGGTGGGAGGAGCCATCCCTGACAAAATGCAGTGTGCTCACCTCTTTATAGAGGTCAGGTGAGGGAGTCACACTGTCCCCTTACCTGGTGCATCTGCTAAGTTCCTAGGCCTGGTTTCCCTGATACGATTTTAATATGCTCATGGGTCACATTACCAACCTGTCTTGAAGGAATGAATATATTCTAAAGAAATGGGGGGGGGGGGCTGGAGAGATGGCTCAGCGGTTAAGAGCATTGACTGTTCTTCCAGGGGTCCTGAGTTCAGTTCCCAGCAACTACATGGTGACTCACCTGTAATAAGATTTGGTGCCCTCTTCTGGACTGCAAGGACACGTTCAGGCAAAACACTGTATACATAATAAATAAATCTTTCTAAAAGAAAAAAGGAATACTGTGTCCCTTTCCCTGGCTATCAGATGATTGAAACCACCAAACCCAAGAAATCAGAATTTTCCCAAGAATCTTTGGCTGGGAAGCCAAAAGGCTAAAGCCCTAGGGACAACCAGAGACAACTCCCTGCCAGAGGAGGAACTCATATCCTAAAAAGAAGATTTACAAGTTGTGAGACAACCCTATGGACAGACTTGGAGCCGAGACAATGTTGGATGGAGATGGGATTGTATGTATGAGAGACCATGCTTTGACTAACTACTCATTTGTGAATATCTCTTGCATTTAATTTAAACTCTGCTTTTGTCTCAGGTCCCAAAGATGACCTAGAGAGGCCATGTATCTCTTTGTGCCACAGTGAATAAATCATTTCATTTCATTTCTTTCTTTCTTTCTTTTTTTTTTTTTTTTTTTTTTTTTTTTTTTTTTTTTTTTGAAACAGGGTTTCTCTGTGTAGCCCTAGCTGTCCTGGAGCTATCTCTCCTTGAAAATCAGGCTGACCTTGAACTCACAGAGATCCACCCACCTCTGCCTCCCCCCGGTGCTGGGATTGAAGGTGTGCACCACCTGGTCACATTGAGTAAATCTTCCATAAAATCTCCTCTTTGCATTTCACTATTAACTTAGCCCTTTTAATGGTTTATGAAAGATGAATGACTGTCCTGGCTTGGTGGGGCACAGGCTGTGGCATTCCTAAGTTTGGTAATATTCCTATAGTCTCAAGTCACCGTGACATATTTATATGGTGGCTCTCTTATATCCCAGAAACAAGTCATTTGTCAGTCTGTGGCATGGCTGGTGCTGAGTAGACAGTGCTCTTTATATATCTGCCCAGATGCACAGTCCCCCAAAACAGAGTCTCTCAGGCCAAGGCACGTTAGACAAACCACTGGGTTTTTTTTGCATAATCTGAAGTAACTGGGCAAGGCACAGCCTGATCTAGTCTGTTTTGTGTAGCTATAACAAAACACTTCAGCTTGTAAGTTTGGAGGTTCAACAACATAGGGCTAGCAACATCTTAGCTGATAGCATTTCAATGTGAAGACATGTGCAAGGGGTGAGAAGGCAGGAAGCAAGAGACTGGGAAGAAGACAAAACTTTCTTCTTCTTCTTCTTCTTCTTCTTCTTCTTCTTCTTCTTCTTCTTCTTCTTCTTCTTCTTCTTCTTCTCCTTCTCCTTCTCCTCCTTCTCCTTCTCCTTCTCCTTCTCCTCTTCCTCCTCCTCCTCCTCCTCCTCCTCCTCCTCCTCCTTTTTCTTCATCTTTTTGTAACTAGAAACACTTTTAGAGCTGACCCACCCCTACCAATCCTGACCCACTTCGCAGAGATGACATTCCTCCAGTCATGAGGATGGAGTGCCTGTGACCTAGTGACTTTCTACTTCTCTGAGTCTTCAAGGTGCCACTGCCTCAATGCTATACACAAGGTCCCGAGCTTTCAGCATACCCACAGGTGTGTGGAAGACAACACATACTCATATCCTGGTGAGTTCACACCCAGGACTGAGCCCCAGTGACCGCTTTCACAGAAAGAGAAAAGGCAGAGTAGAGTGGATTTGTCCCAGCTGACTTCTTGAGTTCAGTGTGCCTTCTCCCAAGAAGCTTTCCCTGCTCATTAAAGCCATCTATCTCCTCTGTGGCCTTTCTGTGGCCTTCTTCCATGTTTGCTAAAACCCTTGGACACAGACAGAAATCATTACATGTATAATGCTTTGTATCAAAGGTGCTTCTCAAACTTAGAAGATTACCGAACACAGGACTCCTTACTGGACTCAGACCTGCACACTGTAGTCAGAACTGGGGAAAAGGGAGATCCTGATCTCAGAGTTAAATCCGAGAAATGTCAAATTTCGGCCCTGCTGGCACAGCAAATAATAAATCAACATTTATAGCTAAGTCTGGGAGGCAGGCATGTCTGGCTGTGTTTTCCAACCATCCCCACCACAATCCATAGGAAGAACTATCTTTCCAACGGTGATCTGGTGAGAAGACAAACACATATGTGAACAATTGCAGGCAAAACTTCAGCAAAATTACTCCAGTCTTTGCTTTGTGCAACTGAGGTACAATAAAAAAAGGTATTGCTTCTTTGTTCCTAATACCTGGCACTCAACTCCCCCAAACCATGGAATTTCCTGTCTCTTGTCTCTTGTATGCTAATGAGGTGGCTCCTGGCAGGCGGGAGTGGATACCCTCAGGATGTGGACCAGTTGCCAGAAAAGTCAACCACAGTGATTAGTGATTAGAGCTGGAACTTCCATCCCCATTCCCCAGGCTCCGGCGACTGAGAGAGACTAAGGGCTGACCCCAGTCTCTGCAGCTAGTGGTTCAATACAGCATCCACGCACACTGAAGCTGCTATTAGAAAATGTGAGAGCGGCATCTCGGGGCACTTCAGGTTTCCTGAACACAGTGTGTTGCTTAGTTTTCTTGAACTTGACCCAAACCTAGATATATCTGGTAGGAGGAAAACCTAAGAGAGAAAAATGCCTCCATCAGATTGGCCTGTGGCTTTTCTGTGTGTGTGGGGGGGGCGGTGTTTCTTGATTAGTGATTGTTGTGGGAGTGCCCAGCCAACTGTGGGCATTGTCATTACTGGCCAGGTGGTCTTAGGTTGCCTAGGAAGCCAGGCTGAGCAAGCCATAAAGGGGAAGTCAGTAGGCAGCGTCCTTTCACGGTGTCTACTTGAGGTCCTGCACCGACTTTCTTCAGGGACAGATTGTGACAGGAAACATGAAGCAAATAAACCCTTTCCTCCTTGAGGCACTTTCAGTTGCAGTGTTTACCACAGAAATGGAAAGCAAACTAGGACACACAGCATTGCCTGGGGGCGGATGAGCCCAAGTCTATAAGGACAGAAGGGGACTTTGCAGCACCAGATCCTTGCAGACGCATTCTGGGTGATTCCCCTGGCCGCTCATTTCTATTCTCATAATAACAGAGCTTGTTTGGAGTCCTAAGCAGCTTTCTAGCAAATAATCAAATCTCAGCAAGAGTCATGGGGCCCCCTGAACTCGTAGTCTGCTGGGGAGAAATGCGTGTGGCTTGCAGCCCACATATACTGTTTTCACCTGAAGCTGAGGTGCCACATGGGACTGAGCTCTTAACCCTGGGCTCTGTTTTCATCTGAGATTTGAATAAACGGTAGTTGGTGAT